TACTTGGCTCAGTCCTGATGCCAGTGCCATGGTCCTCAGGGCCCCCCAAGCCTGTAGGTTACTCGGCTGCCCATTCCCTGGTAGGTTTTTCCTCCAACCCCACATTTGTAACTGAGACCCTGTATCAACTCCCCTCTGTGGAACTGCCTGGATAGATCCTGGAGTTGGGAGATGGTGGGGGCCAAGGTCTCCTCACATTTTTGTGAGGTGGTTTTGAAGCAGGCGAGACGCCATCTTGGAGAAGCGACTCCATCTTGGAGGAGCATCTCCATAATAAACTGTTAAATTCCTATGACTAATAACTCAGGGCTGATAGCTGTCTAAGGTTCCTGCCCTCCAGCAAGCTTACTGCCCCTCCCTGAAACTACAGGGTAACCTGAAAACCTTGGGCGTTAGTACCTTGAATAGATTAGTACCTTAAATGGATTAGATTTCCTACTTCTCTGACTCCTCCCTTTGATGCTGTGTAGGGCGGGATCTGAGCCCAATCCCCACTCTGAGACCACCCGTTCCTCAATTCCCCCATAAAAGACCATGTCCAACCCCCAGTTGGGGCTGGAGATTTTGAGTGTTAACTCCTCCATGCCCACTGATATAATAAACAGTTCTAATCTCTCTGAGTGCTGCTTTCCATTCCTTGGCGTCTGGTTTTTCTGCAACAGTTTGGTAACTTGATCCTTCAGTTGTTTTGATTACTCAAAATGATTTATCAATACCTAAATTATTGGGGTCAGATGGTGGTGTAGTGGTAACATAGCTGGGTCTACATGGGAAGGTCCCTGGTTTGGGTCCAACGCCTCCTTGAATAAGCAGGGGACACCGAGTGCCCGTGATGCAGGTTGGGTGTGGGCAGATGACAGTGTGAGGACCCTGCTGGGGCAGCTGTCTCTCTCTCATGGAAGAAATAAAGTTTAAAAAAAAAAAAAAAAAAAGCAAAAGTAATTAAAATATTGTCTCCATGGAGTTCAAGCATTTTTTTGGACTTAACTATAAATTTTCTATTATTTTGCAATTTGAATGTTCTGAATCAGTTGTATTTTTTTTAACATTTGAGATAAAAAGAAACAATCATTTTTCCTCAGCCCAAATACCATTTCTTTCTTGTGTAGTGAATTTTTCCCTCTAGAGGAAACAGCGTTAATAGCAGCTTCGGAAGGTTATCACAGGACTGTGCACCAGGACGTAGGTCAATAGGAGGATTGGCAGATTGATGCTTCCATCCTGGATTGACCAAATTATGCAAGATTCAGTGAGCTGGGAAAGTGGGTAATTAAGATAAACCAGCGACAAATGGAGATTTTCAGTGCAAGAAGAGAAGAGATTGCTATGGGTAGAGAGCAGCCAGTCTGAGAAAACATGGTGTGACCTTTAGAGGCATTCAGAAATACTCTTCCTGAGCTACTCTAGCAATGGCTATTGAGAAGCACTTACATACGAAAGCGCTATCTGCCCGTTGTTATGGGTTATTTACCTGTTGTTGTTGATACTGATACAGCTGGGCAGTATGAGACCAAAGGAAGCTACATGTGTTTATCAGATTCTCCCCCAAAAAGATCAGAGAAATTACATGGCACCAGTCGTTGTCACATCTTCAGATGATTTACACCCAAAAACAACTGGTTTTGCATTCCATTTTCTCTTACCCCATTTTCTGCCCTTTAAAAGCATAAGCCTGGGGCTGGTTCCAGGTCACAACTTCTCCATCAGAAACGTTGGGCTCACCCGATCCTCGCTTTTCTATACTTGTGTGTCTTTGTGTGTTTGTTATTGCATTTATTTCTAATCCACGGCCTTCCCCACTGAGAAAAATGTGTTCAGCAGAGCAGGTCCAGACAAGTGGCACCCGATGGGGCCGGCCCTGCAACCTAGTGGCTAAAAGAGCTGAGTCCCACGTGGCCAACTGTAGTTCAAACCCTACCCCTAGTAGCTGAAAAACACCCCAGGTGCTTGAGTACGTATGCCTGAAATCCCTACAGGGATGGAGAACTGAGGAAGTCTGGCATGCCTATGCCCCATTCGAGGATTGCTACGGACTGAATGTGTCCCCTCAAGTTCAAATGTTGAGGTGCTCACCTCCAACGTGTCTGTGTTAGAAAATGGGCCTTTGGGAAGTAATGAATGATTAGATCTCTGAGATTAGAGACCCCAGAGAGCTGCCTTTTCTGCCATGTGAAGTAACCATATGTGAACGAGGAGTGCATCTTCACCAGGTAAGAATTGCCCATACCCTGACCTTGGACTTCCTGCCTCCAGGACTGTGAGAAATAAATGTTTACTGTTTATAAGTCACCCAGTCAGTGACATGCTGTTAAGACCATCCAAACAGACAAAGATATAAAGGTTTAAAAAGTAAAAACTGTATAATGCTAAATTTGGGTTGGAAATTTTAGCGCAATTTTTTTTTTCTCTATTTGGCCAATGAAAGAGACAATAATGAACCTGTAATAACAGCCTCAACACTCAGGCTTCGACTGTCAGATATGATCCTCAGGAAAGGCAGGGGGCTTCTGGGACAGGATGTACAAGATGAACCCAAGGCACCTTGCTGTCCTGGAGATCAGAGAAACTGGCAGAGACTGTAAGACTAATAAGAGCACAGGCAACTGCACGAGGGGTCCCACACCAACAATGGGTGGAAGAGGATAATTAGGTGAAAGAAGATATACCTTAGTAATGGAAACACATCAGATCTAATCTAAACCTCCTAACATCTGTTAGCCTATAAAAGCAAAAAAACAAAGTAAAACTAAAACAAAAACCCATTTTTCACCATTGGAGGTGACCCAAACTCCAAATTCTTCTCCTGGAACTCAGCAGTTAAAGGAAAATTTATGAGGACCATCAGTTGGCATAATGGCTATGTCACTGGACTCCTATGTAGTCGACTGCGGTTCGAATTCTGGACCCAGTGGTTTAAATTCACACTGGGCGCGTGTACAAATGTGTGTGCCCAAGATCCTGAGAGGAGAATGGAGGAGAAGGGATTGCAGAGTGACCATCTCCCCCGGGGGGGGGGTTTGGGGGGGAGTTCTCACTCCCTGTCTCTCTGTCTCTCTCTGTCTTTCTGGCGAGCACATGCACCCTAGAGCAAAAACCTCTCAAAACAAACATAAAAGGAACAAAAAAATTAAAATGTTACCAATCTGCAACATTTAAAGAAATAACTGATGTGGGCAACCTCCTCAACATATAAACTGCGCAGTGAGTGTTTGCTGAGAAGCTCTGTTTATAGGATCAGGTTGCCACTAATTAATCTTAGGACTGCTGATGGGATCAGGTTGTCGCTAATTAATCTTAGAATCTCTAGGGTTCATCTGGAATGACCAGGTTTCTGTGCCTCCTGATGTGAGACAAGGTGGAGTATATTACACCACCTGGCAAACAGCCCTGCCCCTCTCCCAGAGTTACACCTGATTCTGCCAAGTCTTTACAGGTGTCTTCAGTTTAGAGCATTCAGGAGAGAGACGCTGGCCAACCAACACTAGAAAGGAGCTGCTGTCTTAGCTAGGCCACAATAACACCGTTTCACATGGCCTTAGACCTCAATGACTTAAAATATATTTGAAAAAAAGTTTTTTCTTTACTCATGATAAGGCATGATAGAGATAGCGAGAAAGAAACAGAGGGAGTACCTTCCATGGGCCTGGACACACTGCAATCCCTTTCCTCCAGCTGGTCAGATCCTGGGCCCTCTTGCATGCTGTCAGCATGTTTCAGTCAGCTGGACTGGGTATTCAAACCTTCGTCACCATGTGGAATCCAGCTTCACTCGAGCAGTGCAATACAACTCTGCACCACAGAGCCAGCCCCAAATAATCATTTATTCTCCTACACACAGAAGAGAAATGGGCCCAGGCACACCTGTGAGTGTCTCAGCTGTGCCCAGTTGAGGCTGACAGAGCAGTGGCCATCCAGGGCAGCTCCCAGAGAGAGTGTAGGAACACACCTCTGCCCATGTGGGCCACTCATGTTAGGCGAGACCAGCAGTTGGCGTAATGGCTATGTCGCTGGACTCCCGTGTAGTTGACTGCAGTTTGAGACCCAGACCCGGTGGCTTAAACTCACGCTATTCCCCTTGGGGGATGATTTCTTGCTTTCTATGTCTCTGTCACTCTCCGTCTTTCTGGCGAGCACACGTGCCCTATAGCAAAAACCTCTCCAAAAAAAGCCCAAAAACCCAAGACCAAAAAAAAAACCCCACCACATTGGGGCGGAAATGTACTGGGGGGGGGGGTTTGGGGGGGAGTTCTCACTCCCTGTCTCTCTGTCTCTCTCTGTCTTTCTGGCGAGCACATGCACCCTAGAGCAAAAACCTCTCAAAACAAACATAAAAGGAACAAAAAAATTAAAATGTTACCAATCTGCAACATTTAAAGAAATAACTGATGTGGGCAACCTCCTCAACATATAAACTGCGCAGTGAGTGTTTGCTGAGAAGCTCTGTTTATAGGATCAGGTTGCCACTAATTAATCTTAGGACTGCTGATGGGATCAGGTTGTCGCTAATTAATCTTAGAATCTCTAGGGTTCATCTGGAATGACCAGGTTTCTGTGCCTCCTGATGTGAGACAAGGTGGAGTATATTACACCACCTGGCAAACAGCCCTGCCCCTCTCCCAGAGTTACACCTGATTCTGCCAAGTCTTTACAGGTGTCTTCAGTTTAGAGCATTCAGGAGAGAGACGCTGGCCAACCAACACTAGAAAGGAGCTGCTGTCTTAGCTAGGCCACAATAACACCGTTTCACATGGCCTTAGACCTCAATGACTTAAAATATATTTGAAAAAAAGTTTTTTCTTTACTCATGATAAGGCATGATAGAGATAGCGAGAAAGAAACAGAGGGAGTACCTTCCATGGGCCTGGACACACTGCAATCCCTTTCCTCCAGCTGGTCAGATCCTGGGCCCTCTTGCATGCTGTCAGCATGTTTCAGTCAGCTGGACTGGGTATTCAAACCTTCGTCACCATGTGGAATCCAGCTTCACTCGAGCAGTGCAATACAACTCTGCACCACAGAGCCAGCCCCAAATAATCATTTATTCTCCTACACACAGAAGAGAAATGGGCCCAGGCACACCTGTGAGTGTCTCAGCTGTGCCCAGTTGAGGCTGACAGAGCAGTGGCCATCCAGGGCAGCTCCCAGAGAGAGTGTAGGAACACACCTCTGCCCATGTGGGCCACTCATGTTAGGCGAGACCAGCAGTTGGCGTAATGGCTATGTCGCTGGACTCCCGTGTAGTTGACTGCAGTTTGAGACCCAGACCCGGTGGCTTAAACTCACGCTATTCCCCTTGGGGGATGATTTCTTGCTTTCTATGTCTCTGTCACTCTCCGTCTTTCTGGCGAGCACACGTGCCCTATAGCAAAAACCTCTCCAAAAAAAGCCCAAAAACCCAAGACCAAAAAAAAAACCCCACCACATTGGGGCGGAAATGTACTTCTCTCCTCCCCCCGAGAGAGGAAAAAAGACAGTTTGCTAAGAAATATCCAACATACCTTAGATAGATTGAAAAGGTGGGCCATTTCTCAGGGCAACTGGCCAATTTCTTCAAGTTGATAAGAGAAAATCGTGGAGCAGAGGAAAGGCAGCTCAAGGTGGAAAGAGACTTCATAGACTCAGCAGCAAGATAGGGCATGCGATCCTTGGCTGGATCTCGAACTGAACACACAAAGTGTAAGAAGATAACTCTGAGACAGAATGGTATTTATAAGGACTGGGCATTCCAACATGCCAGGAACCAAACTCCTTTCTCGGTGACTTTTTCAAAATCACAAGGAAGGCACTATTTGCAACTTTCTCTGGCCTGGTTGGGAATTACTGAAGGGCATGGCTGCAGGGGAAGGTAGCTGGGAGGTAGAGAAATGGGTTAGGGAAGCCCAAAACTGTGCTCCAGGACCCTGGCTGGCCTCCTGGTTTCCCCATGACCTCTGTTTTCCCTCGGCACCTGGGACTCTCCTGGCATCTCTAGGGAGCCCCCTGCATGAGAGTAAGGAGGGCACAGGATCTGCTGGGTGCTGTAGGAGCCGGGGGCCATGCTGAAGCCGATGGAGGGAGCAGCAGAGACTGATAGTGCCACCTACTCACCCCTTGCAGGCTGGGCCCCTATCAGACCTCTAGGATCTCCATGTTGAGGCCACCTGCTGCTCAAGGCAAGTGAATTAGCCAGGGCTTTGCCTCTTCCACCACCTCCAAGCATGCTCTAGCTAGTCTTGTTGGCTCACCTGTGTGCAGAGATAGGTTACAGATGAGGAGTGCTAGAGAGAGGAAAGAAGACCATGCGTGAATGGGGTTGGTGGCAGCCAGGCTCTGAGACCAGCCACTGAAGGTCAAGACCAAGAAGAGATATAGATAATGTGAAATGGCTTCAGCACTGTCTAGGTTCTTGGTGTTTCAAAGAATTGAACAAAAAAACGCCAAAAGGAAGTAAAAGTACACTCCCAAGAGGGAGGAACAGGCCTAAACAGAAGAGAAAGAGTGACTCAAGGGTCCCAGCAGTTCCTTTTCATGGGGGATATAGTTCCTTAACTGGGATCAGTTGGTTGCTCATTGGCTAGGCCCCTGATAGCTTTTATCCCATTGGCTATATCAAATGTGGTTGGGCCCACTGATTTATCTCACTGGCTATATCAAATGTGGCTTAATCAGTCAGACATTCCCCACTGGAAATCTCCTGCTTATATTAGAGCAGCCCTGATTGGTTTTTCTATCTAGCCACATAAGTTCCAGCCTACTTACCCACTTCCGTTCTCTAGCTTTCTTCCTGTCTTAATAAGACTGCAGATATGGCTAGACAGGTGTGCAACAGACAGGAGCCTCCAAGAGAGGCTGTCAGTGTAAAACACACCAGATCCCAAGACTCTGTACCAAGGAAGACCATGAAAGAGCTCATGAAAAATTTTTATATTGTGGGCCAGCAGGTGGCATTGTGGTTAAGGCACTGGATCCCACATGATGAACTCCAAGACCAAGCACTGGCCTGGTACAAACACACAGGAAGTGGTGGAGTCAGGCAGAAGATACCTGGGAAAGGGAAGAGGACGACTGTGGGATCAGAGGTGTCTGTACTAAGAACAGGTTGGAGCTGCCCCGGCCTGTGCAGATAAGAGTGGTCCACTCCTGGATGGAGGGAGTGGTCAGAGGTGAAGGAGGGATCAGCAAGCACTAGACTAACCTAGAACCTTCTAGAACATACTAAGAACTCTGGGTTTGTTCTAAGATGTATAGATGCTCCCAAAGGAGAGACATGATGCAGTTATTCGTATTCTAAAGACATCAACCCCTTTGCCTGCTACAGACCCAGGGTGTAAAGCAGGAGCTGATGAGAGGTAAGGTTGCTGGGGCCAGGGTGGTGGCAGGTGGGGCCAATGAGAAGGGACAGAAAGACATTCAGAAAATGAACACAGCTCCATGCTGGTGCATGCCAAGGTAGGGAGGACCTGCCAGACTTCAGACGGCCAGAGAGTGTGGGTGCGTGTGTGTGGCTTGTGATTTGGGAGGGTGTTCTTCAGATGGACAGAGCCCATCTGTCATCCTTGAATTTCAGAAAATTGCTTTTTCCTCCAGGCCAAGTGATTCATTGTAGGAAGCAGAATAGGAATTGCATGTAGCGTCAGTGTTTAAAATATCCCAGTATTAAGGATGGATTTTTTTTAATGAATGGCACTGTCCCTCAGAAATGGCAGAGTAAATATCACCCACACAGCTCCTGGCTGCAGAAGGACAAGTCCGCCTCAGCAGGTAGCGGTGCTTTTATATCTCAGGAAGAAGCGCCCCAAGTTGGCAA